CATAACCCGGGTATAGGGACACCCACATTGTTCCCCCACCCCATAACCCGGGTATAGGGACACCCACATTGTTCCTCCACCCCATAACCCGGGTATAGGGGCACCCACATTGTTCCCCCACCCCATGATGCGGGTTTAGGGGCACCCACGCTGTCCCCCCACCCCATAACCCCATTTCCCAGCCTCACAGAGGTACCTGTGCTGTGGGTGGCCTCAAATCCCTTCTTCTGGATGGAGTTATCAGACACAAACTTGAGGAACATCTTGTTGCCTGAGGAGATGATGGGCTCGGGCTCCTTGGCCCCACAGAAGCGGCCGAGTGCCGGGGCCTTGGCGTCCTTCCCATCAAAGATCTCCAGGTGATCGTAGGTACATTCCTGCTGTGCCTCCACATCCAGCTCTGAGAAGGTCTGTGGAGGTCCTGGGTGAGGTGGAGGCTCGGCAGAGGGGTTGACACCCCAGTGCCACCCTCCCCCAAACCCCTACCAGCTTGATGCGGTGTCCTGGTGTGGTGCTGATGGCCCAGGTGCACTCCTTCTTACTGGGGTATTTATCAGGCCAGTTGGGGCTGGTGATGGTCCCCGAGACCGATGTCACCTTGTGGTCACAGCCAGCTGCCAGGACAGTGAGGAGGGTCAGGGCAGCATGGATGGGGGGCTCCCATGGGAAAGGGGGGCCGGATGGACCCACCTTCCTTGCAGTCGTGTTTGTTGTCGTGCAGCACGAAGCCGCTGCGGCACTGGCACTCGTAGCTGCCGAAGGAGTTGAGGCACTCGTGCTGGCAGCCCCCGTTGTTCTTGGAGCACTCATCCTTGTCTGGGAGAGAGCAGAGGGATGGCTGAGTGGGCTGAAAAAGCCTGGAATGGTGCATTTCCATCCCAACGCAGCCCCTGGCCCCCAGCCCCGCTGCCCTCCAGCCAAGCAAGCGCCCCCGGCCAGCAGCAAGCAGCTCCAGCATCCCGCTTCCAGCTCCAGCCCCCGCGGGGGGACGGGGCGGCTCCTCCTCTCCCGTGGGCTCACCCATGGGTGCCACCATTACCTGCTGCCGGGACGGACGGGGGAGGCAGAAAAACACACAGTGACAACCAAGGATGCACAAGAAAGACCAGGACGCGGGAGTCCCTCTTTACTCATCGATAGGAAATGTCACAGACACGGTAAAAATTGAGGGGGAAGGAAAAAAAACAAAAACAAACCCCACAAGGTCAGCTGGTCAAGGACAAAACCAAGGGGGTGGGGTGCTTAGAACCAAAAAGGGAAAAAAAAAAAAAAAAAGTTAAAAAAAAAATAATAAAAGTTTTAAAAAAAAAATAAAATAAGGTCAACAACCAGTTCTGTCAAGCAAAAGGCTGCCGGGGCCGGCAGCACGGCTCGGCTCGGTCCCACCGTGCTCCCGCACGGCTCCGGGGCCGCGGCGTTCCTGAGAAAGACGGAGAGGATGGAGAGGCTCAGGAGGGGCCCCGCGGCCGCTTCTGCATGCGGAACTTCAGGCCGGGCGGGCGAGATTTCGGGGGCTGCAGCTGCTGCTTCTTCTCTGCAAAGAGAGAGGGAGAGAAGGGGGGGA